ATTATATCTTATATTAAATATGTAAAATGTAAAAAAGTACACACATAGACGCCCGCAGGGGAGGGCAAGCTGGGGCATTCCCCCCCCCTTGCTTTTTCAAAATATTTTTTTTAATTGAATGATTTAAGATAAATTACTATATACTATACAACAAATTTAAAGTATAAAATTTATTATATTGTGTACGAGTATAATAAAAAAGGTTATTATTTTAAAACACCTAGTACAATTATAATATTTATCCTCAAATACTAACATTGCCCCCCCTAGAAAATTTCTGCGGGCGCCTATGAGTACATACTTAAATATTTTACACAAATTTAAAACTATATATTTTTATCTCAAGGCGAAATAGTGTTTAATAAAGCTATACGCTATTCCTATTTATTTAAGAAGCGTTACAAACAAAGTAGAAAATGATTTTGAGTCGCTTTTCACCTAAGCATGGGAGAAATTTAGGATGAATTCATATCGATAGATTAAGGGGCTTCACTCCTCCCCGTCTTACAAGTTACAGTTATACACATTAATAATATTACCTATCTTATTATTTAAATGTCTTTAATATTAATTATTTTATTATAGTTAAAGTACTCATCTATTTTAACAAAATATGATTATTATTTATAATATCATAAAACAAATTTATAATATAAATTAATCGGACTGGTAACTTCGGATTCATACTTAACTTTGTACGATCTATTTGTAGAGGGTTTTTCTAGACAATTGATAGACGGTTCGGATTATTAGTCACCGACTTATCGTCTTAAATTTATAATAATCTTCATCAATCGTTAATAATGCATCATTTCATTCATTTCTTATTATAACCGATTACCTATAGACGAATTTATCATTATAGCCGTACAGGTATTAGTGGTATTACCCTATAAATATTAGAGCCGAGTTCACACTGCATCAAAATTGATTTATTTTTGCTATTTATGGCAATTATATATGACATTTTATATTTTATATTTTAAATTTTTTATTATTATCTACAATTATCATTGAAAAAAAATAAAATAGAAAGTCCTTCATAAATTGTTATATCTTTTTTTTTAAAGACTAAAGATTTTTTATAGTAATGTATTTAAAATGATAATTGAAAAAACAAGAAACAACTAATTGGAGGAAATGATGGTTCAGCCTAGTCTATAAGGGGACTTGATACCGTTATTCTCTGTTAGTTCCAATCGTACCAATAATTGATCTAATGAAGCGATAAGAGTTCTAAAATCAGATTTGAATTTGTCTTCAAGATTGCTTGAGGTTGATTTTACCAAATTTTTAATATTATCTCCAAAATTTTTAAAAACGTTTAATTATATAAGATTGCAGTTTTTAAATTTTTAGATAAGTTAAAATCAAAAATTTGGGAAAGTTGATCTCAAGTAGCCTTCATGAAATGATTCAAATCTGTTTTTAGATATATTATCGCTTCTCTATATCAATCAGTATGTTTGGCCAGGCACAGCTATAATTCTATGTCGCGCATATGTTAGACAAAGACAGAAAATCACAGTATCGAATAACTAACTTGAGTAACTATTTATTATTTATATGGAGTATGGACCTCTCCTAATTTTTTTAAAGTTAATTTATTTCTATTTGATTTTTTTGTCTACACAATATTAAGACATTTTATAACCAACTATTGATAATTGGAAACCTCAGATTCATCATTCATTAAAAAACTAATCATACCGAATAGTGTTTTGGGTTTATAAAAATCGAAAGATTATTTTACTGCAGTCTTAATGTATTCGTCTATGTTATTTTTTTTTCATTTCTTAAAATATATTATTTACCTGGGGCGCCCTTGCAACATTACACATTTTTTTTTCTCAGTTTTGTAACTCTGGTCTTTGATTTACATTTTTGATGTCTTCAACATTATGTATTTACTTTCAATAAATTTATTAAGTCAATAATTGACTCGTTATGTTTCGATGTAGGTACTTTTATTTGATTATATACAAAATTCGATATACGTTGGCGTAATTCCATTAAATTTCAGCAGATGCAAAATTGTTATGGGTTCAATAATCGTAATGACAAATTAAGTCATATTACTCATAATTAAAGCTAATTGCATTGCTCGCGTGTACTATAGGTTCTTTTTATATTTGATGACAACATGACATAAACAAATATCAAAATCTGTAGGTTTCAAAACCTATATTTTAAATACTATATAGTATATGTGCTGTATATCTGTACTACCTATGATACATTATACATATAAAAATTAAAAAATATAATATTTATATGAAATTAATTAAAGTGATGATGGCAAAATTTTTAAATAATTTTAAAAAATATTCAACAAATCAATGAAATTTAGTTGATATTGTATTTTAATAGGTATAAAGTTAAGCATCTGCAGGTGAAAAAGGACATCTTTGCATCTGCAACATAATACCAGGGGGTGTAAGTGCACCGTCGTGTCCGTGATTACGCCACTGTCGATATATATATATATATATAAGTCATATATTCATATGCATTTACTCCGTTCATCGCGACGAAGTTCAACAGAATGTTGTTATTTCGCTCATTCGAATGAATTTAAGAACTAAGAAGTGTTGATTTTGGCAATTGCAGCAGATTGCGGCCTGGTTTTTACTGTACCAATGTGCGCCATCACTGTCTTTTTGTCACTAATGGAGGTACCTAACGGTTAGGTCCTAACCTAACCTTATAGATAATATTGAACACTTCGTTAATGTACCAATTTTGCCTACACAATTCGCCGGATAACACATTTTGTTTGTGCTAAAAATTTACAAGTTTATTGAAAAAAAAATTTACCTGTTGCCATCCCTTAGGGCATAGATGAGTGCCTACGTAATTTATAATATTTTTGGTTTTTGAAATAACTAGTTATATACAGTTATATATATATATAATATATAATAATGAACTTTATAATTTGGTTTTTAATATAAATATTTTAAAATTTAACATGCTATATCTGGAGGAACCGAGGAATCCTCTGGTGATTCATATTTTAATAAGCTAATTACCTACTATGAATAGATTTTTGGGTGTATTATGTAAACTGTTAACGATAGTCTCTAGTTCTTAGCTTAATTATTTTATTTTTGCTTCTTAAAATGTCTGTTTAATGTTTACATACAGGTGCTAACATCCTCTTCCAATTTTGTTTATCTCACTATAAATGATTATTAAAAAAAATATTTTAAGCTTTGATATGTTATCTTGGGGAGCCCTCAGAATAATAATAATTTTAATTTAATAAATTAATTATTGTAATTTTTTTATGGATTTAACGATATGCAAATTTCAGACTGCAGTTTTCAGTGTGTGTACGGTGTACGCAGACCATATCATATTTTTGGCCCTGGCATAGAACTAAAATGGAGCCCTTCTTAAATACAAATTAATTTTGAAACATTTTCCTTATATATATTGAAGTAATTGTTTGCATGAACGCCGGGCTCCTCGAAAGTCCGGGACCCGCAGTACCATGGTTCCTTCTGACCATCCCTACCCCTTGTGGGGCCCCTGGGTGTATCTTATACAGGATTATAATTTTATTTTTCTTCTTAAATTACTTTTGCTGCAAATGCCTACCTTCCCTTTCCAGATTTTTCTATTAATATAACAACCATAATCAAACATACATTTTTAGTTTTATTTTTATAGAACCTCTTGCCACCTATGAAAAAATGTAATGTGCATTGGTTTTAGTGATCTCTGATCACAGTTAAATTGGGTTTGGCTTATATCTAAATTATTTAAAACAAAACATTATCAGTATGTGCAATAAAAATTATAATTAATGTTACACAGAGATTCTTCTTTCTTTTAACGATTCCCATATTTTAATCATATTTGTCATTTCAATATTATCCAAAATATTTTTCTCAGAATCAAGTATAATCAAATCATTTAATCTGTAATTGTTCATAAATGATTTTTGATTATTTTTAGCTTGCTGAAACGCTGTTCATTTGATGCTGTGGTAAGCTGTGGTGTTAATGGCAAAGTACATTTGCCATGGGAATTATAGTCCTTAATTTATTGGCTACATCCATAACATATGGCTCAATGATTCAACATTTTCAGTCTATAACCTCAATATATTTATATCACATAATGCACTGTTGAAATCTGTTACATTAGACATGTCACAGTTTTTTTGGAAGTAAGAAAAATACTTCTTCTACAACTTTTAGGGTTATACTTGAACTTAAAGGTAATGATAATAATTTAAAAAGTGGTTGGATACAAGCTGAACAATATTTTTAATTTTGTGAAGACAAATTAATTAGTGTCCAAAACTTGAAAAAATTCTTTTCAGTAAAAGTCTTTACATGTTAAGTCTACATTTGATTGTGGATTTAAATCATTTTTTTTCCTGATGTTGATTAAAATCTCTTTCATTATAAATATTTAGTTTTAGACAAAATGATTTGGCACTGGCTACAAGTTCAATTATTAGTGTGCTATTGTTTCTTGTTTCTGATGGAAGTATCAATTAATAACAGTGCGTCTATTATATTAAGATCTTTGGTCTATGTTTCGGTCAATATTTTTATTTGATACATTTTAATATTGTATGGTTCATGAAGTATATATAAATGATAAAGTCAATTGATGAACATTTTTTCTCAAGGCGTAATGCTTGTACTCTAGTTTTTTTATCGGCATAGACTATTATACTTGATCCATAACATTACTGTAGTCCTTAGTTAGGTAAAAACATTAACTTTTGTATGATATTTAATCTSCTAGGTGAAAAGAGATAATATGGTGCCGCTAGCAATTGACTGCTATTAGTGCCACCAACGGTGCACCATTACACATACATTACAACCATAATTTCTAATATTTCCAGAAGCTAATTGAATGTACCTTTTTAATTGAATTTTCTTATATTTTTTAATAGTGAGAAAAAAATTGCCTCCTCAGCTCATTTTAACACATTTAAAAACACTTTAAATTAATTTATATACAAATAATTTATTCTGTTACTTTTTATTTTATTTTTACATTATTATGTACAGTATACAATATAAAAATAATAATTTCATGTGTCCTTGTTTTAATGGATTAACCCTGAAATCATAGGAAAACAATTGTTTTTAATAACTGTATAATTTTTGTTTTACAATCAATTTAATACCCACCTAAATAATCGTCCATCAATGTACCAATAGCAAACTGCAAAAACAAATATTATATAATTCATGACATTTAATTTTGAATATATAATAGTAGATACAAGGTTATAAACTTTTAAATAATTTTATTTAAGACCTACATCTATCTGATAATTTAATAATTTATATTATTATAAATATTACAATATTGTTTTAATGGATTGTTCTTTAAGAAATATTTTATATTTAATACATTTGTTACAAGTTCAAATTTATCAACCAACTAAAAGAAATAATTCATAAATAAATAAATATTCAATCTAAAAATTTATAATCTCACTAGTCATCGAATCTAGGTGATATTGTCCAAAATAAACTGTCGTTAGTAAAATGCATTTATAACATAGATTTATATTTTAAGAAATAAACAAATGAAATTTTATTTTTATTTAAATATATTATGATATATATTATTTATAAGTAATTATCTGACCTACTTCTTTATCATTCAATTTCAGACATTTTTGTAGACTACATAGTACTTAGTTAACACTATTTTATCCGATCAACGCATATTTTTAACTCTAAATATAATACAGGATTACTGTTGTTTTTTTTTTTTTATAAGACTAATGATTAAAAAAAAATATTTTTTAACTTATTTATTTATCTCTAGTAAACAAAAGTTCATCAACCAATGCGATTAATATTTTTTATACTAATAGTATTAAATAATTGATTTTTAAATACATACTATTCCTGATGCATCAACACGTGTTCCAACAATTTTTAATCTTATTGTATCTTCTGGTTGTATTGCTATATTCTAATAACATAAAATAATAACATAGCACTATATCATAAAAGAAAGATAAAACTAAATAATAGCTTTAAAAACTAAATTTATTTGCCACTTAATTGCATTTAATTTGTTTATTTGTTTAACAATGTAATAAAAGATTTAACCTATACCAAAAAAAAATTAAAAAAACTAAAATTTAAGAATATGTAGGGTAAAATGGAATGAAATAGTTCCAAAGAGGGACAACAAAATTGACATTGTTCAATATGATACAATAGCAGAGGATGTATATAGCAATTTAATAGAATTAGACAAAAAAACTAGAGTATTAACTCTTCTTTTAGCATTGGATTTTAAAACAAGGGTATAAGGAACAGTAGTACATTCAGTTTTTAAAATAAAAGCGCAGAAATTCATAAATGTCCAAAAGACAAAATCAAGCTTACAACAGTTATTAATCAGTGATAAAGTAAACATTTTTTTCTATGATAAACTTTTTAAAATAAGTACCGACACTAAGTGGATGGCTTACCCCCATACCAAATAAACTTAATTCTTAAAATTACATTAATTATAAGCAATTATCAATAAGATGCACACCCCAATTTAAATTTGAATGGTTGCTCCAAAAAAATAGCTATCATATCGAAAATTCACGCTATCACTGGTAGTAGTTCTAGATAACAGTTTCACTCCAAAATAGAACAAAAAATTAAAACATTTAAAAGAGAACTTAAAATTAACACCAACACAATTTTAAAAAGCCCAATAACAGCACTAAATGGCATATTTTCAATATGTGGACAGAAACACAATTTGTTATCAGAAAAAATCTATATCAACTATCTCATTCTTAGGTATTAGTTATACACACTCAGTAAATAAGGCTATCAACGAATAAATGAATAAAATTTTTTGAATAAGTCATCATATAACATTTTAATATGTATTTTATTAAAAGAAAGACGCAACTCATCTATCTGTAATATCATTGGATTGATATATTCCTGGAGATGTAGAAAATAAACAATTTAATACACCATAAGTAAAAATAAGAAGTTAACAACTGTTCAACTTTTCAAGACATCTAGAAGACTATTTACAAAAATAGCAAATAAAAATGGTGTAAGTTCTTACATTAAAAAAAACGGAAATGATTGAATTGTACACCATTCATTGATGGTTTTCTCAGTACTAATTTTAAAATAGATTGTTCGTTTTTCATTGTTCCTTAATATAAACAGTATGAGTAATAAAAATAATGTATAAATCAAGTGTAAGTTCCATACTTCTTCTTTAGATTTGTAACAAGGAGGTGAAGTATTTGGACAGAATTGCAGCTCTGATGGTATGGACTGGAAAAATAAATAAAACTTAAAAGTTAGTTACATAGTATAAACTTAGTAAGAATAAATTAAATAATATTGTTTAATATTAATAATTATAAAGTAATGATATATAACTTACATGATGAGATATAAAACAGGAGAGTGGTCCAATTTCTGCAAACATTCCTACTTTGTTAAGTTGAGTAACTACAGCTTCCAAAACTTCGCCTTTAAAGGGTCGAAAAACAATAGCTTTATATTTCACGGTGTATACAACAAATCCTTGACCAGGGAGAATTAATCCACAACCAATATTATCAATATGGGTAACAGCAATTACAAATCCATACCTAAAATGTATTGTATTAAAAAATTAAAAATTTAACCGACTCAAGTACATACAACTAATAAGTAATAAACAATAATATTATAAAAGGTATATTTTGTTCCTATCTTCTTTTTTGATACTAGGAAAAACATATAGCTCTATTGTCATGGAAAAAATCAATAGAGCACATTGTCCACTTAACCACTTTTAACTTTCAAACATAAGACATGTTATTGATTCTTAGAACGAAAATTCAATCAAAAATTTCAAAAATTATGTGAGATTAGGAGTGTTAGGTATTCACATATGCCAATGTTTTAACTGTATTAAGTCATTACGTTTCGTACATTAATTTATTTTATACCACAATAAAAGATCAGTTTAAAAATTACTCACTTTCCAGTACACGTGCCTTCGACTTCACGATATAGCTTTTGTTTTACAGTGTCTAATAACTGTGGACCAAAGTACCGAGGATGAAGCAGAACATCGTGTTCCAATGCGATCTAATCAAAAAAATATATATACGATATAGGTATTCACACAATATATTCTCAGAACTTACATGATAGAACATTTTGTCGWGGGTATTTACACGTCCAACATAAAACTCATAAATATTAAATAATGTAAAATCGACAACTATATACAATTTATTATGGATTATGGATGGACCTAGTAGTAAGTAGACGAATAATATAAATATTTTGTTAACTGAAAAATTAACACCGGTAGTATAATCGTGATTCAACAATTCGTTATGTGAAATGTGTAAACAATAAAATAAATACTGCCCGAAGCAGAGTGGCTTATCAACTATAGTTAAGAAAATCCGATTTGTGTTTACAACATCCTTGAACACATTACATTTTGGATAGTAGCAATTTAGTACATAGAGTTCATTATTTAGTAATATTACTCTATGATATTTTAGTAGCTGCTGTCTGCTGATGAAATATTAAAAATTAAGACAGAATCACGGACTAAGATATAATGGACTGGCATCGAGTCGTGCAATACTGCAATATCTGTGAACCGAAAATGTATTGCGTCGCGGGAGTGCGGGGGGGAATTTGAGTCCGAATGATTTTAGCGCTATCTACACGCCCATTATATTGATAAAATTAATCTCAAAATAATTATAAATTTAAAATTACAAATATTTACAATACAATGGAAAATGGAACTACAAAGTACTAACAGGCTTAAGTTAAAAGCACTAAAACAGTGCATCACAAGAATAACAAATTTTACGCTGCTGGCTGCTCGCGGCCTATTTGTAGAATATTACCACTAGATCTTAGTCCGTGGACAAAATTAAAAATAGTACCACAGATTATATAATCTGAGATAGTACTATCACAGAATAATTCTGTGTGGTAGTTACGTAGAGTTACTGGGTAGTTATTATATTTAATCGTGATTAAGTGATTTTAAAAGTTTAGACTAATTATCAATTAATATTTATTATTATTATTAAATTTTCCAAATATTAACAATAATTAATAATAACTAATAACCATATTATATAAATTTTAACATTTAAAATATTTCCGAATTAGTGGTTAAAATTAGAACAATATAAAATATAATTACTTTAAGTTATTACAATACATAGGTATTTATCGCTCGTTCTTTTGTAGTTAACAGTTGAATTCAAGTTAATATTTACATAATAATAAGTTATGTTACATTGTAAATTTTTTTGCAAAGTAATCCAAAACAACTAAATATTGTTTATTACTAATTACATTACATATTCACAACCATTATCTATAATGAATCCTATCCAAATATCAAATATGAGACAAAAAACAAGTATACTTGATAAGTCTATAAGTAAAGGTAAAGGCGAGATCAACATGAACTGTTTTGCATTGATGTTTTCTGAACTGGTACAGTACTGTCAAGGAAAAGCACATACAGTAAATGAGTTACAAATGAGGTAGGTGTTTGCAGATTTAAGTTCAATTGTATCATTTGAGTCCCAAATAAAATCATTTTTCCAGGTTGTCTGACTTGGGACAAGAAGTCGGTACAAAATTAATTGATTTACATTTCTTACGTGAAAAAAACAGCAAACGTGAGATAAAACTATTGAATATGCTGTTATTTATCAAATCTACGTTCTGGAAAGTATGATGTCTAAGTTTTAAATATTTGCTTGAATTGAAAAATATGTATAAACAACTTTTATTCTCAAACATTTGTAGCTATATTAATAAAAATTAGAAGGAGTGGGTTGGTTGAAATAATTTTATTTCATTGAGGAGGTTTACAATATATTCTTGCAATTCAAGTATTGGTTAGGTTGGTTATTATTTATTGGAAATAATTAAGTTACATGATTATTGAAATTTCAGAGTTTCTTTGGCCGTGAAGCTGACAAATTGGAACATTCAAATGATGATGATTCAACTTATTATATTATTGAAAAAGAACCATTAGTAAATAAATTCATTTCAGTTCCTAAAGATAAAGGTAATTTAAACTGTGCTGTATTTGTTGGTGGCATAATTGAAGGAATACTAAATTCATCAGGTTTTGTAAGTACCTATTATTTATATTTATTGTTACTATAATTTCCTAGAAACTGAAAATAGCTGGTTAATTAAATTAAATTTAGACATTTAGCTAATCTTTTGATACCTATCATTTACATACAATTTTATACTTTCATAAAATATTAAATTACATACAAATATGAATTAATTTAATAAATACATATAGCTTATGTGTTTTTCATTTGCAACTTAATAATTGTTATTTCACTCACAAATATTTTATTTTCTAATATAAATTTTTATTCCTTATTCTTTTCTTCTACGTTTTTGTGCCTTGGACAGATTTTTCTCATTTCGTGATATTATTTATTACTAGTAAATATTCATTTTGTTCTCTAAGGTTTCACTTTATTCTACAAAAAAAATTACAATATCACCCATACCCATAATTCTTATAAGTTAACAACACTGAACTCACATTTATAATGTGTTTAATTGTTGCAAATGACACTTGCAAATGTGACATTCTCTTAAAAAAAATTTAACTTCTTTTCGGTATTTTTTATAAACCAAATATATTAAGCACAAAATCTATTAAGCTTCTTACCTTTGTTGTAAATAGTAAATATGTATTTTTTAGTACAATTTTCAATATTCAATAATAACATGGTGAAAACTTATGCTTCTACCATAAACTTGGTTCCCTTAAAATTAGGAATTGAATTAAGAGATGAAAGTTGAAAAGTTGTAATTTTATAACATCTCACCAGTTGTCAATGACTTAAATCAATGCAATAGTTGAAACTGTATGTTCTTAACATAAATTAATACCACTGATTATAGATATAACATAGAATTATCTTGTTTTATTGATTGATTTTTTATATTTTTATATCAGTTTCTTGTCAACAAAATGCTTAAAATATATGTAGTTATTAGTTCTTGATCAAATGACTATTATTCTATTTGTATTTTATTATTTTTAGAATGCTAAAGTCACTGCACATTGGCACAAAGGTACTACTTATATGGTAAAATTTGAGGACCATGTTATAACAAGAGACAAACAAATGGATGAACGTTAACATTATTTTAAATCAAATATCTATTTTTGTTGCTGTTATCTGAACGATTTTTATAAATTTGTAGTAAGTTAAACATTCTCTTCCAGAGTAAACTGAATACAATATAAACATCCAAACTAAATAAAGAACATTGTGGTATCTTTATTTAATATGATTCCTTAATTATAATTCTTTTTATATGAAATTAATCTTAAAATAATAATCAAAACATATAACCTAAATCTAAGAAGCATCTCTAAAATTAATCAAAAAATGTATTCAAGAAGAACTAGGTTTTTCTGCTTTTGGGCTGCGCATTTTGTATAATAGATATCCAACAGCAATGGTTCCATAGGTTGCACATACAATCTGTAACAAAAATGTAATGTCTTGAATTACATTTGTTATTTTAACTAAACAACATAAACATATTGCCTGATTACAGTGGTATATATGCCTACTACTTAGAAAAGTGATGTTGATGATTTAAATTAGGAGAAGAGTTAAAGTAAATGCATAAATATAGTCTGTTTTAATATATAAATAGTTTATTATTAGTTATTATGTAAATCTGTACTTCTGCAGATAATTTTCAGATGCATAACTAAAAAATGTTAGTTACCAACAAATAATAAATAATTTTAAGCAAAATTACTATCGGAAAATAATTTTAAAAAAGTAATTGTACGAGAGTACCTTTCTTACAAAATAGTCCAAGATATAATGTCATATATTAAAAAAAATCCAGCGAATTTGTATTTAATGAATTTTTTCTATGTTCTCTCAAAATCTATACACTCAATAAAKACACGTGAGATTATAGATTTTGATTAAAAAAAAATAGACAGAAAATAAACAGAAATTAAATTTTAAATATTAAGTTACTAAAATAACAAATTCTTAATAGGACGCTACACCCGCATGTGTTGTCTCCGTCTTACAAGTGCGTAACATTGCAAAAACTATTTCGCGCAAGAAAAAACCGAGAAAGCTACAGTTATAACTAAGAAACGAAATTTTCACCACATAAAAAGGAGAATTTTGTCTGTGCAATATCGTTTTTATTTTTTCGATATCAGAACTACAAAMAAAGTTATTCAYGCTTWWAAAACACAAAATTAATATATTATAAAACAATAAGAATTTTTTTTGTATAAGTGATATCGAAAAAATAAAAACTATATTTCACAGACAAAATTTTCCTTTTTATGTCGTGAAATTGTTTCTTAGTTATAATTGTATCTTTCTCGGTTCTTTCCCGCGCGAACCAGTTTTAGCAATGTTACGCACTTGTAAGACGGATACAACACATGCGGGTGTAGCGTCCTCTTAAATGTATTCTTAAATCATAAAATGGAGTTAATAGCACCTATTTTAATTAAATAATAAAATTAACTTATTTAAGTCTATTAATTTATTATTAAAATAACATGGTTTAAGTATGCTATAATATTTATAATTGGTTTTTGTGGTATATGTAAATTATTGTAATATTGACAACTAATAATTTTTTTGATATATTTATTAGAGTTTACATAGGTACGTTAAAACATATGACAATAATATCATTTAACTATTATATCTGTTTGTAAAATATGTACCTAAATTAAGCAGTTCTCAACCTATTTATACCTGAGTACAATCTATATTAATCAGAAAATGTTCACAAATCACTTGACCACATAACCTTTTATTTTTGTTAATCAAAAATATATATGTTAGTTTATATGTATAGAATTTAATTTAAAAACCACAAAACTATGACAAATATATGCAATTAATTTTTAAATTAAAAGGGAGATTTTTTTTTACCTATAAAATTTCTGTGTACCACAGGTTCTTGTGTACTAATACATAAAATGCATGTTATTTTAAAATATTAATTATGATTAAAATTTTCAATAGAACTACGGAAGTAGCAACATTTATTTATTATCCCCAACAGAATTGAGAATAGCAAACAAATTATTGGTATGTCACAATTGGTCACAGCTTCCATTATTAATTTTAATTAATAAATATATATTTGTGGGGAATAATACACATATTATACTATTTTCCTTACAGTAGGGACGGAATTATTTTAATATTTATGTTTACAAAAATAATTTTTAAATTTAACATATAATTATATTGTATTATTTTTATATACATTCAATATATAAATTAGTCTAATTTTATATGTTTTAAAGATTAAAATTCTCAGGCCATTAAATCTATAATACTTAATATTATTCTTACTGCATTAAACTAAATAATATTTTAGTAGGACCATCATACGTTTTAAGTAGAAGTGCAAAACAACTAAATGGTACAAGTTTGGTTTCTTACCTTTATCTAACATTAACAACTAATTTCTCAAATAATCAAATAAAGATAATTTAAGGATAACTATTATTAGCATAAGTAAATATTTAGCAATATCAAAACATAGACTTGCTGAAATGCCAGCTATATTCAAATACTTATCATTGATATAATAACGTATAATTCATAAATAGTATATAGATTATAGACTATATGCCAAAATATTTTTTTATTGTAGCATTTTAAATTAGTTACCTTCAAATCAATGTAGTTATCTTTTTCACTGTATTGTTACCAAAACAAAATAAATTTTTCATTGAAATAGGTAGGTAAGTAATAAAAATAGTCGTTATGTAACTGTATTATCATTAGAAAAATACCCTATAAAAATGTAGAATGAAAATAATTAATACAACCACTACTAAAACGTGTGTCTCGTAATAGTGCAGTTGGATACTTGGATTTTAGATTCGTTATACTAAAATAGCGGTATAGAATTTCTTAAGATCAAACCATGACCTTGAAATGTCATTGAGTTGTTTACAAAAATTATAATTAATTTAATTAGGACTTACGTTAACCCGTCCTTTGGTCGTAATAGTGTTGAAGTATTTGCCGACGCCGGTTAACTTTGCGATTTCAGCTGGGTCTCCTTCTTCATGCGCCATTCTGGAACGACCAAGTGCCCAATAACGAGTCATTAATATCAAAATAGATTGGAATGAAAATTAAACACGAGAGAGGATATAGTGATCGTTTACGAGGCATATAAATATGGTGAATTGATGTTACTATTTGAGTGTAAGTACTTACTTTTCTTAGTGGAGAACTGGAGAAACAACGGTACGATAAAACAGAATTACAGAATTTGATTGACAAAACTGTGAAAACACGCACGACTGCACGCGAGCTGGGATTACTTGGGAGTTTTCTTTTTCTTTATCAACAAAAAATATTGCATCAAGTGTAGTAGTCATGCACCAAAGTAATTCGTACTGTTTTATGTGGAGGGGACGACCGGGACTAGAAAAAATGGTGGACCAACGAGATAACGTCAAATCATATGTGTACAGTGCTAACAACTTATTTTTGATTTTAAAGCAAATAGGACTGAAAAAAAAAGTAATGTTCGGAGATGGATCAGTTGCGCCTATAACAAAATTTTTATTTTAGAGTCAAAGTCTCAAAGTCAATCATTTACTAATATTCAAACTTCAAAGGCGTAACTAGCCAGAGGGGGAGAGGCCGGGGAGGGATGCTTGGGCATCTCCATTATCCAGTTCAAAAATACCAATAATTGAAAAATATAATTTTTTTATTTTATGCCGGGTTTTTTTTTTATCTGGCGTTATTAGCAGAAACAAAATTTTTTCGTGATGATTATCACTTATCATATGATTAGACATTAGTTGAATTAATACGTTAAATCAAGTATTAGCCATTAGGTGATGTATTAGTTAGCAGTACGATTAAAGTATGTACGTACGTCGTACGTCGTACATCTTTAATCGATGTTAGTAATAATCGCTCGATATTATTTAAAAATTATATGAAGGTCTTAGAACTGCTTACCTTCCAATTTTATTATAATTATAATTTTATTAAATATATTTGTAAGGAGCTTATATTTCCAAATGTATATAAAATAATAAAATTTTACTATAGCTGCTCTAACTATTCCGGTGAGTTCTGCTACGTGTGAGGAAAGCTTCTCGTCAATGGCTCAATGCGTAGTCTAAAAAACTGGCTAAGGACACTGAGCAAGTATAGAGCAACAACGTTTTACAGATTTATCGATATTAAATATTGAAAGAGATGTTTTCAATTAAATTAATTCATCAGAAATAGTCTGAAATACTGATAAATTAGTCACCAAAAAATAATATTAGTATGAATATGAAACAGTATATTTAAATGTAAGTGTGTTTTATTATAGATATATTTAGCTATAAAATATTATAGCTTATACAAGTAAATCTTAAAAAATTTAAATTGTATAATTAATTCCTAATTATTTTAACAAATTATTAAACACACCCACCTCACACATGGACACCTCATGAAGAACCAACCACCGTCAGAATGCACCACATGCGGAGTAACCCTCTCAGTTAAACACTTGATGACAGAATGCCGATCAAATGAGGAAGAAAGAGAAAAACTAAATATACCAACGAACTTATACGAAATAATCCGACTGTCAACCTGAAAAAATCATGTCATTCYTCAGGACAATCGAAACAGACAAAATACATTTAAGTAGAATAAATATAGTTAACAGCCATAAGCCTCAAAGTTCCCTTATTATTGTAATTAAATTGTCACCTAAAACATGTAATAGTATAATGTAATTTTAAGTATAAAGCTAATGACCCATGTCGCCGAAGCTACAAAGATCAATACAAAAAAATATATATTAAACAAAATTTATAGTTATTTTACCATTTATTTTTATTTTGTCACTATTTGCATCACCATCACCATACATAATATTATGTACTTGATGTAATCAGGTATTTAGCTTTATGGATGGTTATTGTAGTTATAAAATTTAAATATGGTATTTGGGACTGTGAAGTAGGGGCTAACCCCCACGATTTGATGTCCATTACATGTTTGCATAATTTTAGCACTCCCARRYCCCAGYATTTAGCCTCGAGTTACGCCTATGCCAAATTTCACTGCTTATCGAATTTCCATACCGGCTACTTACAGTTTCAGATATGAAAAATGAAAATATTGTTTTACGATCTAATCTCAAAAACTTAAAAACTTATTTATTGCCCATATAGCATTTGAGATGATGATGATAATATTTTTAAAGTATATTTTAATAATCATAAATAAAATATCTTAAACACGTTTCTTGAAAATAGTTTAAGATAATCATAAAATATGCGTTTTAATAATATTATTGCCCGTGACAATAATGAAATATTATAATAATATATATTATATTCTTCTGAATTTACTYAATCTTAAAATGTGTAAATTTAAACATTACACTTACACATATTTTTAGAACAGTCATCATTTGGAAGACAATTGGCAGCTATGGATCACATACACCTACATACAAATTACTTTATAAATCTTTCTGCTACAATGATCAATTGATTACTAGTTATCTATAGTGACTATAGGTTTTAATATATTTTTTATCAGTATCGGGAATTTTAGTTGGTGTACTCATTTATTTTTATTATATTTTACTTTATTTTGACGATAATAATTATTGCGGATCAAAAATTGTTAAATGTGAAAAAAAAAATTGTTTGTTTATTTATGTTACAATTTTACATTATTTTTTTTGTATATTGATACTTCCCAAAAAATCACTAATATTTATCATATAATTATACATTTATAACTGACTAATAAGATTTCTTTAGATATTGAAATATGTATAATGAGTGCAATATTAACCCTAAAATGTATAGAGCGCAATATTGCCAATTTGTCTTTCGACCTTTAAATTCTTAAAACGCAATTGGTAAACTTCTTATTGTTCTATACTATAATATAATAAGTGCCACTGTCTAAGTATAGCAACTTAACATTACTTTAGCCTTAAATAGTTCAATCAGTTTTAGACCTATCAAATTTTATACTTTTAAGATTCTGAACGAATAGTGATGAATGTATTGATTTTACAATGATGTGTGTTTT